CATCTAAATTGATTCTGACACTTCTACAGCCAACTCACAGGTGTATCATTGCTTTGATAAAAAAGATTATTCATATACCCCTTTTGGAAGTGGAGATATAGTCATTCATTCTGGGAATGTCCTTTTAGAGCCTGAGGCCTGAAAAATAGGCTCAGGGCTTAACAGGTAAATATGTTAGTCCTTAATTGTTTACCTAAATCTGCACTTACCATCTCTGTAACAATGTAAATTGAGCCACAGTGGGACAAATCAAGGGTTTCTGGTTTCTCAAAAAAAAGGTCAAATCATAAAGTGAAATACAAATATATTAAAATGTTGTAAATGTCAAAGCTCCTAAAGTTTGGAACTTGTTTACACACCGCTGCATGTCCTGCTGCTCACTTTGTGAAATGACAGTTCACTAAGCTCCTCCGCCGGGACAGCAGGTGTGTCCGTGTTTCTCCACATATTGAATTATTGAACTAAGAGAGATAATCTGTATAAAGAATTTGGAGGGTTGAGTCTTTATTTAGGCTTCACAAACACACAATAACAAGAGTATCAGTGGAATAAACTAAGTCTGCTGTAACATAGACTATGACAATAACAATGCTAGCTAGATAGTTTCTTTCCCAAATGATTGACTTAATAATCTCAGCGAACATCAATTTTTTTACCCCATTCATTTGCAACCTAGAAATGTTGACATTTTGAGTTTTTTCTCTGAACAGTGGCGAGCTGTCAGGGCCCTCTAGGCCCTCTGTGAGGGCCTAAGATATTCTAAAAAATAATATTTAAAAACATTTAAAAAAAAAATATTTTTTTAAAATATATATTTTTTTAATATTATTTTTGTTATATTTTTCATTAGTTTTACCGAAAAAAAACTTGATTTAATTGTATTTAAAATAACATTTCCAAATAAATAAATCCTTCGAATCTGCCTGTTCAGTCTCTGTTTGAATGTGGGTTACATGAAAGAAGCTCGTCTGGCCCTCTCTGCGATTCACAGAGGGCCCGCTATAGTAACTGAACGAGAGAGTAATGTCAAATGACAGTACAATTGACCAATCATATCTTCCCTCTAAATGGGTGGGTTTTATTATCGTGGACTTTATGACGAGTTCCGCCCGCTGTGAAACTTTTCTTGTTTCCATAGCAACAACAACTTCCTGTCAACAGCGTGAACTCGCCTTCACAATAAAAGCATGCCAAATTACACTTAAGACATACAACTGCAACGAAAGTAACAAACACAATGCAATATCATTTTCAATGTCAAAGAACACAAATTGGGTTCACAGGTGTTGTTTTGTGTGGTAGAGGGTCGCTGTCATTGATGCGTTTTGCACCCTGGGCCATTGTTTTGATATTCCGCTGAAGTATACGCTGTGACGTAATAACTCTTTTTTTTTCTTTTTTTCGAGGGAATAGGTGGGGGTCAGAGGGCCTAGGTATAAAGCTCACGGCTCGCCACTGTCTCTGAATATAACGGGACTCTCAAAGCTTTGTACTCTATATATTGTGTTCCCACAACAGCCCTTATATGCTGTCAAAGACATTAGCCAAACAATCCTACTCTATAAGGAAGAAAAGGATTTAAGGAAGTTTGCATTACAGCCAACTATGCTGGAGAAACTATTACAACACATCTTATAAACTGTATGAAACTTAAAACAGTCTGATCTTATAATTGTTTCTTGTCATACTCATGATACTAGTACTATCTAACTGTGAAGTGATGGGCTACTTGTTTCCAAAATTACTTAAAAAGTTCATCGGAAATTTGCTTCTGTTATCGTTTTAATCTGTTTATGTGTCGCGCAACAATCTTCCCTTGCTTAGTGAAATATGTTATAAAAATGTGTGGTGTCTTTCAGTTTAGTGTGATAAAACTGTTCACATGACTCCACATGACTCCTCACATGATTGAGGTATTATTATCTTGATAAAGATGTTCAGCCGGGAGCCGTGTGTCACTCTGGATGAGGTGTGTTTGTGTAACTGTGGGAAAATGACACCACCTGCCTCCCACTAACGGCTGCAGATGGAGCAGACAGATGGAGCAGGAACACAGAGATGCAATCAAAGCAAACAGTTCAGATAGCAGAGAGGAAAAACATCACATCGCTCTCAGGTGGCTCTTTAAAAACAGGGACATCAAACTACATAAATGAGTCAGGATACATCAGGAATATTTTGGGACATCGGTGTTAAAAGGGGATATATTATACGTCATGACCCAAATCTTGCTATTTTATGTGGTGAGAAAATGTCTGACTGTTCCTTTAAATGTGTTTTTTAGCTGTTGCAGAAGTGTGTGTGGGAGGATGCTGAGGATGTCTGATAACAATGTTCAACAACGTCAAACAGTCGGCGTCAACTCTGATCTCTGCTGAGCTCCAACTCATCTGCTCCAGACACACAGATCAAATCTTTAGATTACTCATCAGACGCAGGTGGAATAAAAATAAATGACCTTCAGTGGATGACGGGTACTGATGTATAAATAGCTCTCTTGCTGTGTGTCTGTCTCTCAGTCAATTCTGACTTGTCTCGTTGGTGAAGAAAACAAGCGTTGTTAAATATAGATGAAAAAAAACATCAATTGTTTTCAAACGGGCAGATTAATACGGAGAGTAATTTGCAGTCAGACTAGATTTTCTATTTAAAATGTGGATATATCTTTTCTTGATTTTAAGTGTTCAAAGTTATATTTAGCCTCTACTAAATATGTTTAACTGTTTAACTGCCACCCAGTGTGACCCATGTTAAAGGTAGGGTAGGTAAGTTTGAGAAACCGGCTCGAGTGCGCTAGAATTTGAAAATACACAACCGGAGAAAATCTGCCACTTCCTTACAGAGCCCCTCCTCCAACACACACGAACGCGCACATGACCAATGAGGGCACGAGATAAGTTTGTGCACAGATGGAAGGCTGACAGGCAGGTAGGCCATCCAGTTATTTTAGCCGGGCCGGCTAAAATGATTGGTCGTGCTTTTTACAGTACTACGGCTTCCACAGATGAAATGTTTTTATGGATTTTTTGTCAAAGCACTTAAGATATTCATTGCTATCGGGATGTTAAGAGCATTCCATGGAATATAACAAAAAGTGTATCTCGAGCCGGTTTCTCAAACTTACCTACCCTACCTTTAAGCTACACATCTGTATAAAATACATCCATTAAACACTGCTTTGACTATACATGGTTTGATAAAAACATTACACATTATGTCAATTGTACTGGATGAAAACACAGATAAATTAAAGGAAGCTGATTTAATGGGATAAATAAATAAATGGATACTTTAGGACATACCACTCGTGCCCTTAAAGGTCCCCTATCGTACTGTTTTTCATCAATATATTATAGGTCTCAGATATATACAGAACACGTCTCTGAAGTGTTTGGCTCCAAACACCAAACAGATCATTGCAGCATCCCATAATCCCCTCTGTTTCAGCCCTGTTCCAAAAGTGCTGATTCTGTGTCTGTAGCTTTAAATGCTAATGAGCTGCTGCTGGCCACGCCCCTCTGAGAGCTGATTGGTTTAAAAAGAACACAATATCTCTCTCAGAGATTCAGGTGATAAGGTGGGGGGGGGGGGGGGGGGGGGGGGTTACCTTGGTTGGTGATTGGCTAATGGTTACACAAGCCAAAAAACATTGTGACATCACAAAGGGGCCAAAATCTGATCAGCTCATTTTCAGACAGGTTTTTATATAAATGGATCAGGACAAAAAGTGAGAGAATCATTTTTCCTGAAACTTTCAGAATCTCTTTACACAGAGGGGACACATGTTGATGTAGAAGAGACATGAAAAAGTGGATTTTGCATAATAGTTGACCTTTAAGTTTCTACGAGTAACACATCCTCAGTGTGTGTTTCGGTCTGATAATGATGTGTCAGGGTCTTTGGTCTGAAAACAAAGTTTAATTCTGGCCTGTGATCCAGTTACTCACAGAATCAGCATTACTCAGTGACAGCTGATATGAGCTGCTGTCGGCTGTACAGTAAGTGAGAATCTGCTTCCCTTCACTCATCTCTGATAATGAGAGTCAGAGTCAGAGGCTGGTTAATCTGTGAACTGTTAGTGTGAATTGCAGACTTTTGAATAAGTATTTATGGTCTTCATGAAAGTGTTAACAGGCTTTTTTTCAACGACTGTGACCTCTACTTAAATGTTTCACTTCTGTTCTGTACGAAGCAAACCATTGAGAAACTCCCTCTGGACGGAACACATGGATTTGAGCCTTTGCAGACCATTTACAAAAACCTATATGACACACTACAGGGCCCCTTTGACTATTTTCTGTGGCATTGATAGAGGACCCTGAGACTGAAGATTTCCATTGCCAATAACAATGCTTTGGCCGTTGTGCACATGACAAATAAAACCTATCAAGTGCACGCTAAAGGGTCTTTGAGCATGATTTGTCTATGTTGATGTTACACATGGAGCTGCTGTGATGCAAGTCACATTTCAGACTTGATCTGACCAATAAAGTAGTATCATATCCAGGGGCGGTTCTAGGGGTCCCTGGTCCGTAACACTGACCAGGGACCCCCCTGTGGCCCCCCTCCAAAACTGAGGTTACAATATTACGATTTATTAGAACTAAATCAAATCTGAGACCCGGATGTACAGTGGAGATTAAACTGTTCATTATCTTATATAAAAGCAAATACTGTTTATGTGTTTTTGTTAAATTGTCACTTAAAGTTACTAAAACAAATACTCTAAATGAAAAGAACTATTGAAACAAAGGACTGTAACTTACATTTACAAAACAAATACCAATTACTGTATTTTATGTTCAATTACTTTACTGTCTTTGTCTTTTTAACCCGCTTTTAGTGTGCCCCTCTCATTAAATAACTGGCCCCAGCCTGTAAAATTGGTCTAGAACCGCCACTGATCGTATCGTATCGTATCGTATCGTATCGTATCGTATCGTATCGTATCGTATGAATCCTTTTTGGATCCTTTGATAACTTGAAGGAATTGTACTCACATCCGATCATCATCATGGCCACGGCGAAGATCTTCTCTCCGTCCGTGTTGGGCGCGATGTTCCCGAAGCCGATGCTGGTGAGGCTCGTCATGGTGAAGTACAGCGAGGTGATGTACACCGAGTCCTTGCTGGGCCCGCCCTCCCAGCGGCCCGACCCCGAGGCGTTGAACCTGTAGGGCGTCCCGACCGTCTCCCCCAGCAGGAACAGCCAGCTGTCCATCCGCACGCTGTTGGTGTCCTCGTCGATCACCTCGTAGTCCCCGATGCTGTACCAGATGCACGCCAGCCAATGAGCAGCCAGCCCGAATACACAGACCAGTAACACCAGGACGGCCGCTCCGTACTCGATGTAGTGGTCCAGCTTCCTGGCGACTCGACCCAAACGCAGTAGGCGGACCACTTTCAGAGAGCTGAAGAGACTGCTGATGCCCTGCAGAGGAAGAGAGGGGGAAGAAATTATAGATTGACATACTTCAATATCAGCAGCCAAACCCTCTTAAACTGAGCAACTCAGCATTCAATATATATCAAAATCTTATATGTAGTACAATATGCACATTTCTATTTCAACTCCTTATATTGGTATTAAGAGCTGAAGAGACTGCTGACGCCCTGCAGAGGAAAAGGGAGAGGGGGAGGAAATTAGAAAACCTTATATAGATTGGCATATATCTTTGTTTTTGTATTCGGGATTGTGGGAAACGGTATTTCGATCTCTCTGTCTGTACACACAAACTGGAAGATTGAAAATACATTTGACTTTGTCTTTTGATCCTTCACCATCTGCAGCCAAACCGTCTTACGCAGCGTCCACACGGCGGCGTGCGTTGAAGCTTGCCGGTGAGCTTGTCTGAAACTCGACCAACAACCAATCACATGAATGTCCCGCCCCGGACACACAAGCACGCGGTTTGATTGGCTAGAGCTTGTACTGGCATATGATTTGATTGGCTGACGCTTCCGCCGAAGCTTCAAAAGTTGAACATTGCTCAACTTTTGAAGCGAGCAACGCGAGCAAAGCGAAGCAACGCTCCCACAATGCAGTTCGGCAAAGCGTGACGTCACCCCATTCAAAGTGAATGGGCAGAAGCACGCCGCCGTGTGGACGGGCCGTTACACTCTGCAGCTCAGCATTCATTTGTATTACTGCTTCAACATCACTGTAAAGTTATACTCACATTATATTCGATCTTCGATCCGTCTATTTTAAATGTATATTTTTTTGGCATTTTACTTAAATTCTTATGTTAATTTAAATATTTGTATATAATTATTTTTTCAGTTTATTTGAGGTTTTACTTTCATTTATTACGTTTTGCTTGTAAATATCTTAACTATATTTTATTAAATGTTATTTATCTTTTTTTTACATCTTTACTTCTAATGTTTATGAATATTTTTGTTCTATTTTATCTTTTATTGGGCAATTTACTCCTACCTCCTTGTGTGAATTTAAATATTTTATTATATTTTTATTTCCTAAAATGTTTTTTTAACTTTGTATGTTTAGATCAATATGTTTTATACTATTTTTATCTTTTATTGCACGGTTTTACTTCAGCTTAACAAGATAATATTAATATGTATATATATATTAATTGTTAACAAATGTAGCTACTTTTGCCTTTTTGGCTCAGTTTTGTCGGGCTGTTTTGGACTCTGGCGTGGACCAAACAACTAGCTCAATTTCCAAATAAACTCCAACGTTGATTGTTTGTAGTCTGAAAGAAAGCGGAACAAACACAGGTTGTCATAATCCGTTATTCCTCTGCGAGCTCTTCGTGAGAACTCATCATCAGTGTCAGAATAATAACAAGCTGCCAACTGAACCAACCCTGAACCCCAGAGAGAGAAATTACAGGAACACAATCATCAAACTGGAGCAGTTATAAAAGCTTTATGAAGCTCACAATGTCTCATTTCTGTTGTTGGTTTACATCCAGGATATATAAAGGGACAGCTGGTTTAAATGATCAGTGAATATGGCACTTGTCAAAATATATAAATACATGTAAATAACGCTGTCATATGAATCCAACTAGGGCTGAACGATTAATCGATTTTAAATCGAAATCGCGATTTGAAATGATGCGATTATCAAATCGCAAAGCCTGCAAATTTTTTTTCAAACTTTTTTTTCTTGTGTGTCAGTCATCTACACCAATCAGAAGGGCTGTGCTCCACATGTACCAGCCATTGTTAACCAATCAGAAGTGGCCCATGATAGAAGGTGATTGATTGATCCAGTCACCTGCCAAGTATTTTTGAAAGTGCCTGCCCTTTTCCAAATGGCTTCCAATGGAGCTTTCCTATGGTTTGGTGAAACAAAGCATCTGAGTCAGGTTAGTAATGCTCCATCACATGTTCTACATCTATTACAGGGTGAATCTTAAACTGAAGCTTGACTTTAAAGCAACCCAACGGAAGTTTCATGTAAGTTTAGTTCTTTCACTCGTAGCTCTGGCTGCGGGGGTGCTAGAGGCGGGAGCATGTTGATGCGACCTTCCTAGCCGGAGATATGGCCGCATTTTACAATAAACTTCCGTTGGGTCGCTTAAAAACAAATATCACAAATCAAATCGCAATCGCAATATCTGTCAGAAAAATCGCAATTAGATTATTTCCCCAAATCGTGCAGCCCTAAATCCAACTACACTGTATTGTGATATATTCATAAAACAGTGTGCATTAAAAGTACTTCCCAACCTTGTCCAAAACCTCTGTGTGTGTTTGTGCAAGGGAAACTTTTATACATGCTTTTATTTTGTAAATGTTTTGTTAATCAAAAACCTGCAGTGAAACACACTGGACATATTCAGGTTGGATTACACACTCATGTGTTATTTCCTCTTTATGTTGCCCTTTGATAATGCCAAGTTACTCACTTATAACATATTTCATTAAGAAAAATATAACATTTCAAGTCAAAACGCTGTGATAATTACACTACGTTTCTGTATGTCCACCACAGACTCTTCCTGGTGGATTACCACACTGCTTAGGGATTAGTTTATTGATTTATTGACAGATTGACTGACTTGTTGGTCATGTGGTTGACTTATTGATTGAGGCAGTTCGGTTACAGGTCTTACATGGTTGTAGGCTTTCTAATTGGATAATCAGTCTAAGGATGTGTCATGTCCTTTCAGAGTTAATCTAGTCCCTGAGCACTGGGGAGGATTCTCTGGTGTTTTGTCCCCTATTAAACTGGTCAGTGTAATATTTCATTTTGTCCCCTTGTCAATAATACATGACGGCTGCTTTAACCTGACGCTTCTTGTTCTTGCATCACATAGAGGTTGCATTACATTTCATTACAAGGTCTTCAATCTTTTCCAGTGTCTACACCCAAGAATAATCAGGCAGTTATTCACAACCCTTTCCTTTATGACTGTAATTTCTATTTTAGTTTCGTTTCAATTAGTAGCTAGACGTTATGGAAAATGCTCAAATCATTGGTGATGGCCAGCAATCAAGAAGCCAATTTTATTCCACATTTAAACACAATTTTAACCTAATTTGACCGATTTACACCAAGTACACTAAACAGAGAAGAGAACACAAGACAGAAGACTATCCTGAGCAGTTCCTACACGAGTAAAAATTATCTTTTTATACATTTTCTTGAATTTGCTATTTCATTTTGTCCCCCTGACCCGAAGGAAATCCCCTGTTTGAAACTCACACACATGCAGACTTTTACTTTCAATAAAACACTCACTTTAATAAGTATTTAAGGCAACTAAGTTTAAAATCTGAGTACTTCTTCCACCATTGGATGATGTTTAACACCTTTCGTCCAGTAAAAAATGACCTAACCCCCTCTATCGTCTTACGCTTGTTGTTTTTAACGGGTGTTATACAAACATCTTCAGCTCTAAACTCTTATGCTGAGCCTCACTGCTGCCATCTTCACCTGCAGTGTAACTCTTGAGCAGTAATTCAGAAGATGGATCATAAAAAAACCATCAGAGTGCTTCCTCCTCTGCAGAGGTCACGGTATAAAGTCAAAATATATGTCCAAACTCACTGCTTCGTGACACTGGGTCAGCATCTCTTAAATCCTCCTGCTCTCCAGCAGAACTCTTACAGTCATGATGGATAAAGTCGGTATGAAAGATTTATTAAACACGTATGAAACATGTATGAAACAGGCAGCAGCCGTGCCACCTACAGAGACTCATCCTCTCCATTTTTGACTCGTCTGTCACCGCTGCCTCTCGTCAAAAACACTGCTTCCTCACTGGGGAAACACCCACAATGCACTGCTCCTCCATTAGCAGCCTTCAGCAGTGAGACTGAAGGCAGAATGAAAAGGTAGGTTTCTCTCTGATGGGTTGAAGCGAGGGGTTAAAGCCCCGACACTTCATCTCCTTTCACTCAACAACTTTCTCCTCCCTACGGAAGCCCGCACAGGACAGGATTCAATTATGTGCACTGTGTGCCTGAGGACTTAACACGCTTTGTTTTCACTTCATGACAAACATGATTATGCTGAGGTGATGGTTTGTGTATGTCTCAATACTATATGGGTGAATAAGTCTGTGTGTAAATGTGTAATCTACAAACTTAAAACATCCATACTGTAAATGCCCAAAAAATCTGAAATATATTTATACAAATATAAAACCAATCTGAAAACACAAACAAATCCTCACGCCAAAAGAAAATCTGTTAATAAATGTAATTGATTTGCAAGTAGTCTTTGAAAAGCATTTCTGAATCCAGTTTTTTTGTGGATTTCACATCAACGCTTTTGGATTGAGTTAACCTATTTACACACAGATTGTCAAACTGTTCGCACAAGTAATATTGAGACAAATCTGCCTCCATTTTGGTTGTGTCATTTTTTTATGTTAAATTACTTAGGTCTTTATTAGGAGATAGTAACTTAGGTTTTAGGATCTCAACTGAAACCATTTTTTCAGAGACTTATGTCAAATATATGATTGAATTAACTTTTGTTCTCAACGTGCATATGTCGTCCTCCTATATCGCACTCTCGGAGACGCACATAAGCACCATGTTTTGAATTCTGCAAATAGTTTTCTGATATCAAAGATGCATGTTGTTGTCAACAATCCAGGAAAGACAACAATCTACAAAGGCTTTCTGAATTCTTTTCTAAGATATAAATCTTTAGAAACACACATAGAAATGTTTGCATTTATAAATTGTTTTGATCAGGCTTACTGGATGAAAAATTGCATTTGCTGGGGACAATTATTTTCTTTAAAGGTGGGGTATGTAATTTATTTCAGAAACACTTGTTATATTCCATGGAATGCTCTTAACATCCCAATAGCAATAAATACATTAAATGCTTTGACAATAAATACATAAAAACATGTCATCTGTGGAAGCCGTAATACTGTAAAAAGCACGACCAATCATCTGAGCCGGCCCGGCTAAAATAACTGGATGGCCTAC